TAGTATCACTCCATAGGAAATATGGACATATAATATCCATATATCCATATATGTCTTTCTGAGACTGGGTTATCTCACTCAGGATGGTTTCTTCTAGTTCTATCCATTTGCCTGCGAATTCCAATTTCCACTGAGTAGTACTCCATTGTGCAAATATACCACATTTTCTCTATCAATTCTTCAGTTGAGGGGCATCTAGGTTGCTTCCAGGTCCTGGCTATTACAAATAGTGCTGCTATGAACATGGTTTAGCAGATGTCCTTGTTGTATGAATGTGCATCTTTTGGGTATATGCCAATGAGTGGGATCTTGTGATAGACTGGCTCCCATTTTCCTGAGAGACACCATACTCATTTCCAAAGTGGCCTCACAAGTTTGCACTCCCACCAGCAGTGGAGGAGTGTTCCCGTTTCTCCACATCCTCTCCAGCATGAAATGTCATTGGTGTTTTTGATTTTAGCCATTGTGGAGGGTGTAAGATGGTATCCCAGAGTTGTTTCGAGTTGCATTTCCCTGATGGACAAGGATTTTGAGCGCTTTCTTAAGTGTCTTTCAGCCATTTTAGATTCCTCTATTCAGAATTCTCTATTTAGTTCTGCACCCCACTTTTTACTTGGATTGTTTGGTGTTTTGGTGACTAGCTTCTTCAGTTCTTTGTATATTTTGGACATCAGCCCTCTGTCAGATGTGGGATTGGTGAGGATCTTTTCCCATTCTATGGGCTGCCGTTTTGTCTTACTGACTGTGTCCTTTGCCTTATAGAAGCTTCTCAGTTTCAGGAGGTCCCATTTATTAATTGTCGATCTCGGTGTCTGGGCTACTGGTGTTATGCTTTCTTAAGAAACGAGGAACATTTATTTTTGTTTTTGAGAATTTCATATATTAGTACTGCATTTATAACATTTCTACCCCATCTTCTCCCCACTCCAACCCCTTCCATGTCTCTGTCACCCCCTCTCAAATTTGTGACTTCAATTACTGTTACATAGCTTTTTAAAATTTTTTTTATGTAAATGGATGTTTTACCTGAATTCATGTGTTTGCACCATATGTGTGCCTGGTGTCCATGCAGGCTAGAAGAGGGTATAAGATTCCCTGGAATGGAAGTCACAGATGGTTTGTGAACTTCAGTGTGGGTGCTTGTACAAGAGCAGCAAGTGCTCTTAACTACTGAACCATCTCTCCAGCCCCACATATACCTTTTCTTGAGACAGGATCATATCCTGTAGTTGATGCTGGCCTGGAACCCCAGGGTAGACCGCTGTAGCTTAAACGTGTGATGATCTCCTTCCTATTCTGCCTCCCAAGTGCTGGGATTACATGCCTGCACCACCACACCTGGCCTGGAACTGCTTTTCAGCTCACTGTTCAACTTCACTTCATTTTTCAGTAGCACGAGGGATTGAACCAGGGCCTCACACATGCTAGCAAAGTGCTCTACCACTGAGCTACAAAGAAAGCCCTGACTCTTCCCTTTCAGCAACCAGGTCTTTAAACAGCATCAGGCTTGACCTGCGTGCACCAACTCCTATCTGCTCTCTAGCTTGCAGATAGCACATGCAGGCTGTCATAGCCACATTCCTATCACCTAGTCTGGATTTCTTCCAGTTGGGAACAATTGCAGCCAACTCCCTAGCAAGCAACAAGTCTGGACAGTGTGATTCTGTACACTGGATTTGAGGTCATTTTGTGTGCCCAAATAGCAGTTAGGAACAATGAACCTTCAGCTCAGCAACCCCCACCCCCAGAAAAAGCCCAGAGATGACAGTCATCAGCAAACAGGTTGTAATAAAAAGTCTTAAGGGTGGATGAGCTTGGATGAAACAGGAGGCTTTAATCTGTGTCCACTGAAATTCAATGTATGCAGATGCCTATATCTCTGAGGTAAGTTGCTAAGTCTAAAAAGGTTAAACAGCTAAGGAAGAGGAGAAGGCTGAAATGTGACCCAGAGAACATGATTTATAAAAGTGTGCCACAATCTGGGAATTAGGGAATGGTAGGAGAGGGCACAGAATGAGTTAGCATCTCGTTTCCAGTTTACTGTGTAAGTTGGGGCAACCACACACACATGACTTTGATTTGCAATTGGGCAATGTAGTCTGAGATGTGCTGACTCAGACATCATTACTTCTGGCTCACATATTCTATGAAAATCAGCATTCTTAGGCCTAGAGATGGAGATTTCTACATTCCCAGTCAAAATGTGATTTTTCTCCTACTCCCTTTCCCCGCCCTCTCCACACTATAAGTGAAGGCACAATTTCTCCAGCCACCTTTTTTCTCTGGAGTCACCCATCTCTCACAAACAGAGATCTCTTTGGAAGTATATGGTCATGATACAACTCATGGCTGCTACATATTATCAGTATCTCAGTCATCAAAGGCAAAAGAAAAAAAAAAGACAGAAAGGAAGTTTTGAAGATACACATGATTTGGCTTGAAATACAGCTGTTAAGTCAGTCAAAGAAATTCAAATTCAAAAGACAAGGTCGGGGTTAGCAAGATAGTTCACTAACTTGCAGTGCAAACCTGGCAAGCAGAGTGTGACTCCTGGAACCCATATAAAAGTGGAAGAAGAGAGCTCTCTCCATAGACAGAGTTGTTCTCTGATTTCCATATGTGTGCCACAGCAATACAGTAAATGTAAAATTATAATAAAAAATCTAAGCACATTAGTATTGCATACATTATTACAAAGGGATCAAAAATGGAATTCATCTTTTCTTTCTCAACTCCCTGCCCCCCAGGAAGCATTATGAAAGACTTTCAAAAGCCACAATGTGTATAAAACACATTCTCCAGTCACATGGATTGAAACCACAACATTCTTCCCAACTACCACTCAAGAAAGCCAAGAATGACCTAGCCAAGATAACTTGCACATGTGAAACTGTAGTGACTACTGTCCTGGGAACCTCGAAATATTACTGACACACACATATCTTGGTTTACAGAAATTCCTTCCGGTCTTATGAGTAGGAGAAAGCTACTGGTTCCCAGCCCAATATAAAAAGACAGTCAGAGATTGAGAAGTGAGATGCTAAACTAATGTTGGCTTGCTATTTAGCAAGCTGCAGTTCAAAACTTCAATATGTGAAACAATAAAACTTTTCAGAAACTTAAGAGGCAATTCACAAAACACAACAAACAGCCAGGTGGTGGCGGCACTTGCCTTTAATACCAGAAGAGGCAGGCAGATCTCTGAGTTTAAGGCCAGCCTGGTCTACACAGTGAGTTCCAGTACAGCCAAGGCTACACAGAGAAACCCTATCTTGAAAAAACAAAAATAAAAACAAAACAGACAAACCCTCACATACAAATAGCTAATAAACTAGAAATTTCAATTACATTAATCAGCAAAAATCTAAAACAAATCACCTCCATTATGTTGGTTTTCAATGGCTTCTGCAGTATACATGTGTGTTCATCAACATAAATCAAGCACCTTAAAAAAAAAACCAAGCCGGGTGTTGGTGGCACATGCCTTTAGTCCCAGCACTCGGGAGGCAGAGGCAAGTGGACGTCTGTGAGTTCGAAATCAGCCTGGTCTACAAGAGCTAGTTCCAGGACAAGATCCAAAGCCACATAGAAACCCTGTCTCATAAACAAAACAAACAAACAAACAAAAAAACAGGTCAGACACTTTGGTTTAATCTCACCTTTATTAATCTAACCTTGATGAAAACCCTAAAATATAGAACCTGAGTTCAGTACCCAGCACCTCTACTATATAGTGAGTTAAAGGTCAGCCTGAGCAACAGGAAACTCTGTCTCTACCTTTCCCCAGCTCAGATGTTAAAAAAAAGTTTAAATTTTATGTTTATCTTACCCATTAAAAACATTTAGCAGAAATGTTAAATGATGATTTGAAACCAGACTTTACCACTAATGTATTTATTCAGATTAGTTCTTTAAGTTTTTAGCACTGTCTGAAACAACAGTTTATAAAGATGCAACCTTGGGACCCCTGGTAGTGGATCAGTATTTTTCCCTGGTGTAAGAAGGGACTTTGAGAGCCCATCCCATGTGAAGGGATGCTCTCTCCGCCTGGACACATGGGGGAGGGCCTAGGCCGGGCCCAGGATGATGATGTGGGGGAGAGGGAGAAGGGATTGACATGTGAAGCAAGCTTGTTCCTAATTTGAACTAATAAAAAGTAAAATAAAATAAAAAAGGATGCAACCTTATTTATTTTTATTGTATGTGTTAAGTACTTTGCCTACATGTATGTGGTATACCACTACTATATATAGTGCCCTTGGAGGCTAAAAAGGGCATCTGATCCCCTGGAACTGAAGTTATAGGCAGTTGTGAGCTGCCACATGGCTGCTGGGAACTGAATCCAGGTCCTCTCCAAGAGCAGCCAGGGAGCGCTCTTAACTGCTGAGACATCTCTCCACAGCAAAGTGCATGTCCACATGTGTATGGAGGTGGACATTATGCCCAGCTTTTCTATGGGTTCTGGGCACTGAACCCAGGACCATTTATCTGAGCAAAAAGTTTTCCTGACTAAGCCATCTCCCCAACCCTTACTAGTAACTTTCAATACAGGGATAGTATATCTAATCTTTCTTCTCATGTAACTAATATCTGGCCTTCAAGGGGGTCAAGAAATCCTACCTCACCTAAACAAAGCCTTAAAAGTGCTCCTTACACTTAAGGAAAAGAAAAAGACACCAGAAGTAAGGCCACTAATAATTCTGTTGTTTGTGCAAATTTAGGGTAATTAGCAATGGGAATTAATGTCACCAAGCAAAAGCCAGAGGATAACATCCTACACACTGAGCAGAGCACACAACTGAACTGTACCCACCACAGCTCTTCGAAAGAAGGGTTTTGCTGAAATTTTGGACTTCTGATGGTAAGGCATTCAACAAGTCAGAACAATGGTAATTTAAAATAATTTTCTGGTCATAAAAAGAAAGAGACAAAACAAGAAAAACTACTCAAAACGAAACTCCATGTCTAGTTTCCTTAGTAATTTTGGGAGTCTCACTTACCCTTCTGGTGTTTTCAAGGATCTTGGGGTCAGGTTTTCCGTAATTAGGGGGATTGGCATATGGATCATATCCAAGTTTGGCAAGCATGGGTGCAATCACTGCCATGTCTTGTAGAACATCTGGGGGTATCTTCCCAACCCACTTTGACAGTGCCCCGACATTGACAGGCTTGATGACTTGGTCTGTTGACCTTTCCACTCTGAAAACAACAACATGAACAGTTACTTAAAATCTAAACAAAACAAAACGTGGTGGCATGCACTTATAATCTCAGCACTCCAAAAGCAGAGGCAAGAGGATTAGGAGTTCCAGTTTATCCCTGTGTACAACAGCAAGTCAGAGGTCAGCCTGACTTCATGGGATTCCCATATCAAAAAAAAAAAAAAGGAAAAAAGTTAATTATAAATTCTCTTTGATAGCTTTATGTTCTTTAATTGTATGAGCTGGTGAGATGGCTCAATGGGTAAAAGCACTTAATAGAAGAAAATGAATGACTTTTAAAACTTGTCTTCTGACCCATACAGTGTGTCAATATGCTCTCTCTCTCTCTCTCTCTCTCTCTCTCTCTCTCTCTCTCTCACACACACACACACACACACACACACACAGTCATACCACACACAAGGAAATAAAAATCAAAATTGTAACATTATATTACAAAGTGATTATTAAAGGTTGGATGGATGTTGTCATGATTCATTAGAATAGATAGTATGGGAGCTAGGTATGGTGGTGTATACCTTTAATCCCAGCACTTGGAAGACAGAATCAGGTGGCTTTCTTTGAGTTCAAAGCCAGCTTGGTCTATATAGTGAGTTCAAAGCTAGCCAGAGCTAAATAGTGAGATCTGTCTCAAGAAAAAAAGAATAGACGGTATGGGCAGGTGAGATGTCTCAGTCTTTGCACTTGCCAACAAGCCTATCAACATAATAAAATGTAAAAACATGGACAGAAGAGTTTCTCCTTCAGTCTTAGAAAGTAGCCAACCTGTGGTCTTGACACACAGTAGGGCTTTTGGTCACCATCCTGGCACTCTCCATCTCCCTGGAACCTTAAAACACAGTGCTTGACACACTGGTGTGCTTCAAAACCCACAACCCAATGTGAACCAGCCAGCACCCCCATCAGTCATGAGAGTCCAGCATCTAATCAGAACCCACTGTCATAGCTGTTCCATCTCAAGAAATGGGATCAAGGCCAATGCCCTGAATGACCATGTAGGGTAGCTAAACACCACAGCAGGCTGTCTTCCAAGATGCAGCTGAATTACAGTATGCAGCAACTACTTCCAGAACTCAAGTCCTCTGTATTGAAGCTTCAATGTTGGAATGGACATGCAAAGAGGAAAATGAAAGTCAATTGGAGCCGGGTGTTGGTGGCGCAAGCCTTTAATCCCAGCACTCGGGAGGCAGAGGCAGGTGGATCTCTGTGAGT